TCATAGACACAGAGAGTTAAATGAAGGCCATACTGTGCATAGAGTTTGTTATCCCACTTTTAAAACTTTCATATTCTCTTGTGTAATTAAATATCCTTCTGATAAATGATTTTTAATGACTGATTAGTATCCCATCTTATGAATGCATGTTTCACTCTAAAAATTAAACAATAACTTATGCTGATCAACTCTGAGTTGGGGATGAAATACAGTGGCTTATACTTTCTTTCATTCCTCTTGAATTTGTACAGAAGAAAAGCCAAGAAATGAGACGGGGAAACAGAAAAAAAGAGGGTTAAATATTTCTAAAAATGCATAATGGATAGCTGCATTCTAGATAGAATTGTGATGTGTTTCAACAATACCTATTACTGATTTTTATTTATGATAATTTTTGCTATATTAATTTAAAATTATAGCAGCTAATGTAGATTTACCCATTTTAGAGAAAACTGAGAAATAAAGGCTCTGTTAAATAAATTGAATCAAAGATCACTCCTTTTTTATGTGCTAATAAAACCTATGGTGAAGGAGTCAGTACATTTTAAATTTAGGAGGAAAAAATATTAAAAATTATTCTACACATAATACATGGATTCTTGAAATAAAACAGCTTCATAAAAGGCAAAAGACCTAACAATCAGTTGGCTTCAAATCCCATGTCTCTCTGTCCTTTACTCACTAGATGTTCAGCAGCAACGAATCCCGAGGCCTGATCGCATTATTCAGGCAGCTGCAGCTTAGGTAAGGGTGAAAGTGAAGGGAGAATACAAGAAGCATGAGAGTAAGAGCTCACTGGCTCGGCATCTACTCTATCCTGAGAGTGTCCTACTCTGATCTTGGCATTCCAGTAGACCAGCATATGGTCCCCCACTGTGGCTCTTTTTACCTCAAAACCAGATTAATGTGTAACTTGGTTTTATTCCTGGTCAACCCACTAACCTAATTGACTACCCTTCGATCCCAGTAGTCCCATTATAAAGACCCTATTGTATGTTATGTAAATGTCTAGCATAGCTTGTCCTCTCATACTTGGAAAGTCATCCAAATCTTAGGTTCAATATGGACAATATCCAAATTAATATCCATACCCTGCATAAGCACATAGAAGCCTCCTTTGAAATCCATATCTAAAGTAGTCTCTCTTTCCCCAAAGTCAAGTGCCTCTCCCCCAGATATGTTCTTTCCAATTGCCTTGTCCTTCTGTCTACATAGAACCAACATTATCTGAAATGCTTTTATATATAGGTTTTCTCTGCCTCTCCCAATATAATTTAGATGAATAAATGACCTGTGCTTATTAAGGCTTTCACTTTTTTTTTTTTTTTTTTTAGACAGAGTCTCACTCTGTTGCCCAGGCTGGAGTACAGTGGCACAATCCTGCTCACCACAACCTCTGCCTCCCAGGGTCCAGCTATTCTCCTGCCTCAGCCTCCTGAGTAGCTGGGATTATAGGCATGCACCACCATGTCTGGCTAATTCTTGTATTTTTAGTAGAGATGGGGTTTCACCATGTTGGTCAGGTTGGACTCAAACTCCTGACATTGTGATTAGCCTGCCTCAGCCTCCCAAAGTGCTGGGATTACAGGTGGGAGCCACTGCATCTGGCCAAGGCTTTCACTCTTGCTTCCAAGCCCTCATTCCTGTCATAAGCAACCCCAAAGCTTGTTGATATATACAAAATATGGCTCTTATTATACCCTGTATCTGCTCATTTGGCTTCCCTGAGTATTAGCCATCAAGGAATATATTAATTTCAAGAACATTACTTCAGAATGTCAAGGAAAGAACACAAGGAACACATATGCATGCCATTCTTTCCTATGTATTTAATAGGTATCAGTATCTATCATTTTGGATTTATAGTATATGTGTTGTACATATCAAAATATGAAGACATATTCTTATAAGCATTCTATTGACTAGACAGAGTAAGTGGAGGTGAATAGTCATCAGGGGAAAAACCCTGAAGTAGTTCATAGAAATGTATTTTATATCCTTGTCAAGGTTAGTCTTCTTTACACGTTTTCCACAATGTATAAAGAAGTGTTCTTAGTTTGTTTTGTTTTGTTTTGACAGAGTCTTGCTCTGTTGCCCAGGCTAGAGTGCAGTGGCATGATCTTGACTCACTGCAACCTCCGCTTCCTGGGTTCAAGTGATTCTCCTTCCTCAGCCTCGAGAGTAGCTTGGATTACAGGAGTGTGCCACCATGCTCAGCTAATTTTTGTGTATTTTTTAGTAGTGATGGTGTTTCACCATGTTGACCAGGCTGGAAGAAATGTTCTCAGTTTTTAGGAAATGATCCCCTTTCTTAAATGCTAGCTTTATTGAAATAAAAACAACATAATTAAACCATAAACAAAATCAGTCTTCTCTTAGGTCTTTAATTATTTCTTTGTGAAAATAAAAAGAGTATTCATATACTCAAATAAAATATGAGGAAACAAGAGTTGCCATTGTAGGGCTGAATTATTTAATTTCAATGCAGTCAACCATTAGAAATACAGTTTACAATGGACAAGAGATATTCAGTTTTTCAGTATCTGCTAATCTTGTGCTCAAGACACTTATCCAGTTAGCAATTGACTAAGTATCTCCTACCTTACTTATTTGAATAAGTAAGGAACTTCAGCAAAGGAACTGAATAAGTAGAGGAACTTAGCAAGATATAATTATTTTATAGCAGCAAACAAAGCAAACACAAATTCTTGATGGAAAATAATTTGTAACAAGCAATATGGCACCTAGCAAATTGATTGGTGTGGCTGCTTTCCTCATTGAAAAAGCAAGGCTATTGAAATTGCCAAATTATTTGAATACTTTGGTTAAGAGTAGAGAATCAAATATCAAAGATTTAGTTTAAAAATTAGATGAAAAAGCCCTCTACCTTGCTGGATTTCTTTTTCCTAGAATTTATTCTTGTTTTATTTCTGATTAAATAAATATGTACACCCTTAAACATGATAAAAATATTTAAGAAGCTATTATTCTCTCAGTTGTTAGGAAATGAATAGAAGTTACTCATATAATAGGTGACATCAAAGGATTTGTGGAATTAAAATCTCAAAAAAAATGACAAAAATATACAGTAGAACATATAAGAGTTTATCTGTAATACCCTTGAAAGAGATGTTTTTAAAAGCTTCTTCAAGAAATGGTCTAGTTGAAGATCTTAAAGTCCTAAGAAACCTAACAGTTTGGTGACTGTCTTCTAGGATCATCAATACAATTCCATGATGACTTGAAATAACACTTCTAATAAAGTTGTGTTCATTCATCAAGCGTTTCTTGCCATTTGATGAGATAAAATTATCTGTTGTTACGTTTCTTATCATATTTTAAAAATAAATATAAAAAAAGGAAATTGAAGTTTTTTATACTGGAGGAACATTTTTATGAATAAATTCTCGCAGCTGCTAATCTCTTAATTCTGTGATTCAAAAACCAGAAACATACATGATGGCAGTGTTGTTACTGAAATTGACTAGGCTTTCTAAACAAACAGCATAGTTCAGTCTTTGAACAAGACAGATTCTCTTAATTGCACTAGAAGACCAGTATTTGGCCCAGGTATGCTATTTCTTAAAGGCTGGCCACCACATTTGCCCGACAATCGCCATCCTAATTGCTTCTGCTCCTTAGATGCCCTCTTTCTCCAGCAGGCAAACAAGAAAGCTTTATTTGTGCTTTGAAATATATCAAATAACTCTAATGAAATTTCACTTTTCAGAAGTCCTGTCAAAAATGTAAAAAGTGAGTTTCTCCTATTAAAAATGAAAGATGGATAGATGAAAGGACAGGTAGTAAGACTGAAGAGTCTTAGGCTTTCTTTTGCTCTTCAGCTCTGTTTTAAAAAACAAGTTATTTTTTATATCTGATACAATCTGAAAACTCTCTAGAGAGAGAGGAAAAAACAAAGAATAGTTTTATTTGTGATCCTATAAAATTTTCTTGAGTTTTTCACTTTTCTGCCTGTTTCTCAATACCTGAAAAAATTTTTAAATCTTTAATATTTAATTTATAGCACCTTTTAGCTACACTTGTAACAAAAAAGTTCAAAAAGTAAATTATATACCAATTATGGTCTCAATAAGTTATATTTCAAAATAAAATATATTCAGCAAGATATATAAATCCAAATCATAATAAAAATACATGTTCCCAAAATAACTGGAAATTCCAACCACTGAAATCCAGTATAGAGTGTGTATATATTTCAGTTTGCTCCCAAAATTTTAGAAAGTATGTACATTAATAAGTAAATATTTTGATACTATAACACAATATCTGGTCTCTGTATATGAAATTGAATATATGCATGTATTAGTCTATAATCTCGTTGCAGCTAATTTCCTTACGGTATTTTTGTAGTCACACTTAATTTGAATATAAAGTAGTTTTCATTCATTAGCTAAGTAGTACACTGGTCTGAGAGTATACATTTTTAAATCATCCTTGGACAAAGTTACAAATTTTTACATGTGACAGATCTTTAGAGTTGCTTAAATAAGTCAAAGCTTGATTGAACGTTAAATTCTCAATGTCACTGTTCACAAAAATCAATATAAAAGAGTCAGGGAACGTTCTTGAATAAGACAGAAATGGGCAAGAATCCTGTAAATGCCATAAAGGAACACAAGAGAAACTACAGGTGGCCAGTCTCCAGCCCAGGCATAAGAAAATTAGACACATTTGCAGAAATAGTGGTTAGCAACGAAATGCAGTCACTGTGTTAAAATGAGTGCTAGGCATGAAATGCGTGACCAACAGATCTGGTCGAGAGGCAAAACTATCACCACTGAACCCTATGTACTTGGACAGCAAGTTAATTCTTATAAATTTGGAGAAAATAACACCTACCTTATAGAACAATTTTTAAAATAGAATAATGTTCATAAAAATTTGTAAAATATGTATTGATGTAAGCATTGTACCTATACTTTTCAAACTACTACACAAATTCTTATACTTATTGATATAAATAAGATGGAATTTCTTACCAAGGATGAATTCCAGCTGTGGTTCATTTGGAGTCTTCTGAATACCTATAAATAATAGGTACAAATTCAGATTAAAAAATTGAATTCATTATCAAGAATATGTCAATATATATTAATATGCTTCATCCTGACCAGAAAGAATAATTATAATATTTGGCAGAATGAATAAACCTGGTTTATCAGGCCTATAAATAAACAGTTCTCAGGGCAGGGCATAATATTTGTTGCAGAACTAGATGTGACTTGAAATTTGATTGGTCATTTTATCTCTATGGTTATAAAGAAACCAAGAAATGCTGTTTTTGTAAGCTATGGCAAACATAAACCATATTTTACAACTGTGTTTATTTCTTTTGGATGCAATGTAGACAGAAGTGGAACCTTCTAAAAGAACTAAAAGAATCCCCTTACTTGGCCGGGCGCGGTGGCTCAAGCCTGTAATCCCAGCACTGTGGGAGGCCGAGGCGGGTGGATCACGAGGTCACGAGATCGAGACCATCCTGGTCAACATGGTGAAACCCTGTCTCTACTAAAAATACAAAAAAAATTAGCTGGGCATGGTGGCACGTGCCTGCAATCCCAGCGACTCAGGAGGCTGAGGCAGGAGAATTGCCTGAACCCGGGAGGCGGAGGTTGTGGTGAGCCGAGATCGTGCCATTGCACTCCAGCCTGGGTAACAAGAGCGAGACTCCGTCTCAAAAAAAAAAAAAAAAAAAAAGAATCCCCTTACCAAAATACTGCCTTAAATTGATTTTTTTTTTCCAAGCCATTCTGACCTGCTGTAAATAGTAAATCAATAACAAAAGAGATATCTTCAGCTAGGTTATGATAGACATTGTAGTGCTGGTTATTCTGCTAATTCATTTATAGCTCAAACCAACATTTTATAAAATGTTTCCATTCCTTTTGTCAGCAAGGTTTAAAAAATATAATAAGATGGCTAAATAACTTAAGATGAAGTAGGAGGGAAACTGAGTCTGAGAACAAAGGTATAGAAGTGAAAGCATCTAATGGCTAGAAGGTAGAGTGATCAAGTTGTGGGAAGTGATGTTGCAATGGGTAGATGTCTGAAGACCACACACAGTGTAGGAGCTTCCTAAACAAGAGTAAATGACTGAATGTATGAATGGGACACTATTTGTTACAACCTAAGGGTGACCAAAGAGGCAAAACTAACATGTAGGGAATAGTAAACTATTCGGCAATAAAGAATATTATACAAATCCTTTCCTTGCTTATTTTTGCTTGTGCATTCATCAATACTATTTAAATTTACTGGCATTTGGTCACTGATATATTTTTAGAATCACCTTTTTTATATAAAAATGATCTGCTTTTTATTCACAGAGTTAACATTTATTGTGTTTGTTTTGCAAAGTAACTGTATATTTTTTCTCCTGCTGACATTTAACAATTGCTTTGGTTAACAATTTTAGATTTTCCAAGAGAAGTTAAAGTGACAATCATTAGGTAGGGTTTTGTGAACTTCAAATATCTGGGGTTTTTTTTAAAGGTCATTAACAATTAACTATGCTTTAAACATTGACAACCACATTTCTCAAAAATGCATCCAACCAATACAATTTTCTAAAGATTAGCTTTATAATGTAAATGAAAAGAGAAGGTTAGGCATATATTTGCCAGTATTAAATAATTGGACTATAGGAATCTTATGAAAAGAAAAGAAAAGGGCATAATTCATGTTAAACAATAAACCCCAACCCAAGAATTTTAAATAGAAAAAAAAACATGCAATTCTTCCAATGATTTTAATTACTTGAGTAATACAAAACCAATTTAATGTTTGCATGCAAACTTGGCCAAATCTTCATGGGCTCTATATTTTTGACTTAGTGCTCTCTGGTATGGCAGTGACAATCTAAGTTTCTAGTGTAATAATCTTTTCCTAATGCTTTCAACTTAAATACCTTTTGGGTTTAAAGAGAGAATTTCTACAGTACAAAAAATAATCACATATAAGATTACATTAATATCAACAGAAGGTGTTCTTAAAAAGTATTAGTGTCTAGAAGGTGTCCTTAAAAAGCATTTATTAGGATCTTAATATATATTCAAGAGCTTTGATCTTGCTATTTGATATTTAACTATTTCATGGACTATCATCTATCTTACCCAAGAAAAAAGATGAAAGGCATATCATATACTCACACCACCAAGGTAAATAGTGCAAAGAAAAAAATATTTAGGTAATTTCATGCCATTTGTTAGAACTGAAGTTCCTATGAATCTTTGAATGCATATATGTATATGTATGTTTCAACCCAACTTGCATGTTCAGATGTAAACACAGGGAGGGATACACACATACGTACTTGTGAATTGAGAGTCCCCGGGATCATTGGCCTGAGCTGTAGGAAGAAAGTGCTGCCCTTCTTCTGATGCCCCTTCCTCTTTAATTTCCATGATCGACCTTCACAGTTTTAAAATTTTCCAAATGTTCTTGTCCAGATGTCACTTTCAGTGATTTCTAGTTTAATGTAGATGTATCTTCACACTCAAGATCTGAGATCGCACTCTGAAATCCTGTAATTAGGAAATATCAAAAGGGAAGATTTCAGTCATATTTGTGTTCAGTATAAAGCTAAAAATTAAAGGTAGGTAGAGACTGCAACTACATTTAAATAAACTTTCTTCCTGCCTACTCCATTCATACTTTCAGGACCATTCCACACAGTGAATGCATCATAAAGTCCAGGTTTAAAAGAAATTTTCAAAGCAATTATCATATGGTCATATGAAAGGCTTCTAAAATATGAAAGGTAGATTATTTCCCTTCTAGTTCATTCTGTAAGATAGCTATAGGGGCTGCTAACTTGGTATGAAACCTAATTTAGCAGCAAGAGCATGTAGCACCTTGTCAAGACATTACCATGTTTTGGCAAGGTGAATATGACTATCGTTCTTTCCATTAGCATTGCCCTTTATGCTCATCTCTCCACCCATCCTTGTTAGAACATTATTACTGACCACATAAAAAATAATTTGGCATGACATTCTTCTTCCAAGATGAGCCAACAGGTTGTATAGGAGAATTTCCAACCTCATTATTATCCATGGAGTCTTTTGCTGCTCTGCTTGATAAAGGTATAATTGTTTAATGATCATAGTATATGCTGAAAAGAATGAATCATTCTTCTTAAAAGCTAAAGCTCAAGGGGAAATGAAAGCAACAGAAAATTGATGAAAATTAGCATGGGGAAAGAAAGCTTCTCTAAGAATTTAATACTCCGTTAGATAGCCTCAAACACTTACAAATTCATTTTGATATTTAGCATGATATACATGACCAAGAATGAATTTCTTTAAAAATCAGTGTTGTTTTAAATCAAGTTACTAGCTGAATTAAAATGTATAAAAATCTTTAAATGTCTGCCCAATGCTGTTTAATGAGATAGCAGGAATCGCGTTTGGTTTAGAATATTAATAAGGTGTCAAACTTCACAAACCAACAGCCTCACTCTTTGTGGTTCTTAGTAAAGTGGGTTCATTTATAATTCAGCTCTAGTTTAAAAAAAACTGGCAAAAATTAAATTCAAAAACCATCTTGAATTTTTAGAAAATAGCATAATAAAGTTATGGGTAAATACACATTGGCTTCTAAAGATATAATCAAGAATACTTTGGGGGGTAGAAGGCTATTGCATCATCACATAGATCAAATTCATCAATTTAAAAATTATGTTTTGAATTAATAATAAAGCTTGAACAACGGTCACACTTCCTAATTTCTTTTTTACTATTAAATTTAAAAGTCTTTTCTGATAAGAACACACATGTTCAGAATATCATATTCTCTCAAAGACCTATGATAAATGCTGATAGTTAGATAATATCTGTAGCCAACTGCAAGTCGTGTGTGACTTGGAGATGAGTACTATATAATTCGTTAACTTCAGTATATTTCTTGATCAAAGACTCAACCCATAATCCTGATCAGTCATTTTAAAATATGGAAAAAGGCACTATGATGAATCCTAGTAAAGTAATAACTCAGCACACTAATGGTGAATAATTAATGAAACAACTCTCTGTGTATCCGTATACGTTCACTTGTGTAATTTGGGGATGAGAGGAGAAGACTGACATAAGATGTCTACAAAGACTCTTTAACGTGATCCCACTTTAAGCATACTACCCATGTAAAACTAATTAAGTGAAAATAACTTCAATTTAAGAGAGAATGAAGTTAAATATACAAAACAAAAATTATTAGATAACCTCTTGATATTTCATTGAATGTTTATTCTTTTTATTTTCATTGAATGTTTCATTGAGGACAAACTTAAGATTTGGTACTTGTTACCAAAGCACATGCTTCAGAAGGAATTAGCCACAAAACTCAAGAAAGTAACTATATTTTTAGCTGTTAAATACAGCATTTACCTATGGTTATGATTACATACAACAGTTTATTTCCTGTGCCTACTTGCAAAATTTTTTCCACAATAATAGTTTGTGGTTGTTGCATGCCACAAGCATATTTAAAAGAGACAGCTTTTAAGCATAGTTCTACTCAGGCTAGTTCTCACATCTTTTATCTTACTCAGAAGAGCTACAAGCTGAATGGTCACCATACTCAGAAAATACTCTTGGTTCTCTCCCCCTCTCCCAGGGATGAAAGATGATTGGGAGTTATAGTTCAGTTATGTTTAATTGAACAATATTCCTCACTGGCCATTGCAATAACAGATATTTGTTAACATTTTGTACACATCACAGTATAAACGGCAATCTGACAGGCACATAAAATCACACAAGAAGGTTATTATTAATTAGGAAGACAAGACTAACAACAAATATGGAAAAATTGGACATATTACATGAGGAAGGGGCAAAACGTGATGTGTTCCACATTAGAATCCTGCGGTACAGTGCTGTTCACTCACTAGTGTTAGGCAAATCAAACAGCAACTTCATGTTACGATGGTGTTCTGGCGGCAAATTGCAGGTGCAGAAGATTGGTGTTAAGGAGAATGGCCTTAGCTGTTATGGTTCTTTTTAAATAGTGTACTTCAGGGACAGTGTCATATACCAGAGTACTCATCAAATTTGAGATTTTTTGAAGAAAGTTGAGGTTAAAAGAAATAACAAAATGGGATTAAAATAAAAAGAACAGAAGATGAAAGAAGCAAAAAGAGGCATCAGATTTCTTAGTGATTACATGTAAAAAGTTGTATTGAGGGCAATCACTTTGCAAATATTAAATAATGCAACTTATTTACAATAGTCTTTACCTCACAACCACCTATACAAACCAAGACATGATGTTTTTTAGTACAGTGTAGAAAATGGCAGAACAAATTTGAGGATAAAGGGTTTGCTAAACCCTTCACCTCTCTTTTAATGTACTACAGTGATGTACCTGGGATGGTCAAATTCCAAAATTTTTACATAATGAGCTGAAGACACTCCTGACATCTATGTAGTTGGAATCAGAGGTAGACAAAGAGAAGTGAGTGAGGCTGAGTCAGGGGTCATGGAGTGGTGCTCCTCTCTAGGACATTAAGTCCCAGAAGGGAAGAGAACTCACTGGTGAATGGCAAGCGGATATCCTGTCCCATTACAAACAAAGGAGGAACCATCTTTCAGGTTGTCCCTAGGGAAATGTTGAGTTTTCTACTGGGAGTGGAAGAGAGCCCATTAAGTAGCTGTGCTGAGGGACAGGGCCTCAGTTTAAACCTAGCATTTCCCTCTGCTCTTCTCACTCATAGATGCGCCTGAGAAAACACTACAGGCTCTCAAAGTGCAGAGAGAAAGGAAGCTGAGCTGAGACCTAGCACATGTCTCTGATAAAAGACATTTGGTGATCCTACAGCAGAGGTTATAGTGTTGGCTTTCTAGGCCAAGAAGCAGATAGAGGATATGGCCAAAATTCAGTAGGTTTTCTCTGCCATCTAGAGACAAGATGAGGCCCCGTTAGTCAGAAAGCATGAGAGAGGACAATCTATTTAGCAGGGGTGTCCAGTCTTTTGGCTTCACTGGGCCAAAAGTTTGGACACCCCTGCTAATAAGTTTCACTGGAAGAAAAAAAAAATTGTCTTGGGCCACACAGAAAATACACTACCAAATAGCTGATAAACTAGGAAAACACACACACACACACACACACACACACACACACACACAAACTCACTATGTTTTCAGAAAGTTTATAAATTTATGTTGGGCCATATAATCCTGAGGCCGCAGGTTAGACAAGTTTGGGTTATAGGTTACTCTGGCCAGATGAGGGAGCACTGGGCCAGGATTGCTGCAACTCAATCTATAATAGCAAGTATCCACCCAATATCAACATGACACCAATGAGTTCCATTTGTCCCATGACGCATGGTCATGTGAGACCCTTTTCCTCATACATGTGACACTATCTTAGGAAGAGAAGCAGGGAAGAGGGAAGTTAGCATAAAGATACTTAAACACAAGTGTTTTCAACAGTAGTGGAAAGTTAAAAATTGTTATTTATTTTTGTTTTGTTTTGTGCTGTCATCTAGTGAGTGCTTCTGATGACCAAATTATGAAGGAAAAAAAAAGTCCTTTCAATAAGATGAAATTTGCCATTCCTACCACAAATTGAATGTTTCCTAGTGAAAATGATTTTTAATGAAATGTTTAAAAAATCCCTACATAGTTCTCTCTTTAAGATTAAAAAATTACAGGAATTTATTTTGGGGGTGCAGGGCAGGGCCAAGATGGCCAACTAGAAGCAGTGGTTATCAGAAGTCCCCATCGAAAAGAGGCAAAAGAGCACACAAATCCTGCATTGGCAACCTAGGTATCCAGGTTCTGTCATCAGGACTATGTGGTTGGCATGACTCACAGAGAAGAAAGAGCAGTGTGGTGCAGGTGCCCACCTGAAAGCCACACAAGACAGGGGAGCCCCAACCCCCAGACAAGGGAGGCAGGAAGTGAGTGTGCTACCCAGCCTGAGAAACCTAGCTTTTTCCAAGGAACTGTGTAACCCACAGATTCGAGGATCCCACTCGTGAACCCATGCCATCAGGGCCTAGGGTCCCAACCACAGAGCCACACAGATTCTCAACATCCACTTGGCTGGAATCTGCCTAAGATTTCTGCCAAGTTTCTGGGATGAGGAGCGGCATCATCACTACTGCTGTTGCTTGCTGTCTAAGCCATCCGAGTTTCTTGTGGGAGGGGTAGCAGCCAACATTGCAGCTGCTAGCTACCTAACACATTAAGTCTCAGTGGGCAAGGGCGGCAGCCATCATTATAGCCCCAGGACACACTTTTCCACTGCTGGAGCCAGGGAGGCTGGACAGCTGGGTCCCAAGAGGTATTCCCCACAGCCTAGCACACCGGCTAAGGCAGACTGAGGTCAGATTGCATCTTCAAACGAGACACTGACCCATTCCCTCCTCACTGGGCAAGGTATCCCTACAGGAACT